GAAAATGAGTCTTGTGTCTATAAGAAGTGGAATGGAGATAAAGTTACATTTTTGATTTTGTACGTAGATGATATTTTGCTCATAGGAAATAATGTGAGCATGTTGAATTCAGTATAGGAATGGTTGTCCTCACGTTTGGATATGAAAGACTTGGGACAGGCAGCACATATCCTAGGGATCAAGCTTATGCGAGATCGCAAGCAAAGGATATTAGGCTTGTCCCAAGCACTTTATATTAATACTAATTCTCACCAGGTTTAGCATGCAAGATTCCAAGAAAGGGTTTCTCCCTTTTAGACATGGAATCTCTCTCTCGAAAGATCAATCCCCAAAAACGACTGATGAGATAGAAAAGATGAAGGCGATCCCTTATGCTTCTGCTGTAGGGAGTCTCATGTATGCTATGCTATGTACTAGACCTGATATCTGCTTTGTTGTTAGCATGGTTAGTAGATTTCAGTCTAATACTGGATGAGAACACTGGACTGCCGTTAAGCATATAATCAAGTACTTGAAAAGGACTAGGGATTATATGTTGGTGTATCACTCAGGTGATCTTGCACTCATTAGCTATACTGGTTTAGATTTCCAGTCAGATAGAGACTCTAGAAAATCTACCTCAGGATATGTTTTTACCTTAGAAGGTGGAACCATAAGTTGGAGGAGCATCAAGTAATAATGTATTGCTGATTCCACCATGGAAGCCGAATATGTGGCTGCATCTGAGGCAGCTAAAGAGGCTGTTTGGCTTAGGAACTTTCTGAAAGAGCTTAATGTGGTTCCTTCGGTTCAAGCACCGATTGTACTTTATTGTGACAATAGTGGTGCAATTGCAAACTCGAAGGAACCAAGAAGCCATAAAATGTATAATCATATTAAGCGTAAATATCACTTAATTCGGGACATAACTCAGAGAGGTGATGCAAGAGTGTTGAAGATTGTGTTAGAGGACAATTTGGCAGACCCGTTTACAAAGAGCTTGACACAGAAGATTTTTGACAAGCATGTAGAAGGAATGAATGTTAGAGTAGTAGACGCATGATTATGAGTCTAAGTGGGAGATTGTCGGGATATACTATTAACCATGCGGTTTAGGCATAGTATTTTATTTTACTCTTTACGAACAATTATTTATTTAATTTATTCAATTCAATAAAGTACTATTTTAAATAGATCATTTGTTACATGTGTGTCCTTTTAGTTACGTAGTAGATAATTTAGTGTATGGAGTCTTAGCTCATGCACAGAAGATTAAATTGTCGGTTCTCATAATTAATAAACTATGTTCACAATCAAAGATATTATTGGACAAAATATCTTGATGATTGTAGCACAAGATTATAGTATAATTTGTCTTGATTATGGGAGTGATTTTTCTCCGACTTCTTGTGCTAGTATACTTAGTGTATATTGAACGGACCAAGTAGAGAAAAGATGTTTTTGTACTGAATATATATAAAATATTTTCTCTAATTCATTAAATGAGCTTATACTCCTAATCTTGATATAATTATTATGATCAATCTAATTTGTTTATTGTTTTGATTTATCAAAAGGTACGACTCTATTCAGAGTTAGTGTATGCCTAATAGATTGGACAATAACGAATAACATTTGTGAAATAATAATTAGTTGATAGAATTCATGACTCGATTTTGAGTTTGATGATACCCATTTATGTAAGCTTATAAGTTTTCATGTGAAAATCCGGCCGGTGGATTTTGTATCCATCACATGAAATAGTTTAAGCGAAATTGTAAAGGATTTAATTAGTTGATTAAATTAAATTTTCAGTAATTTAATTTAATTAACTGATATTTGAGATCTTAACATGGAGAGTTAAAATAAGTGTTATTGAATTTTTGAAATTTATATTGAGGAGTTCAATTGCAGTTTTTAGTGGAATAAATTGCAATTAATTATAGTAAGAATTAATTCATGCTAATTTCGAATTAATGCTATAACTGGTAGCCTATTATTATTTATGTGGTCTTTGCTATACCTAGTAAAAACCTGGACAAGACTTGGATAAGAAGTGACTTGGAAGAAAAGTCATCTAGTAGAGCTGGAGTAGGATTCTACTTGTAATAGCAGAATCCTACACGTTTTTGGAGCATAATTTCGGCCAAAAATCCGTCTATTAAAGGAAGACTAATTTCACCAAATAACTCACCTTTTAGAGTTGTATTGTTCTTGCCCACCCAAAAGCAAAATCGTTCAAGGTTTTACTAGGCATATAGCAGAAGACTGCAGCCCTATATTCTTGCTGTGTGGAAGATTTGTGTAACGATTTCAAGAGGTTAGTGCTTCTAATCCAGTGATTATAGCATTATCTAGTTTAATTTAGATCTATTTGATGTCTGGTCCGTATGCTTGCTTCCGCTGCGCATGTTCTAACAATATATTCATAGTAAGCACCCTAAATACAAAGTAGATTTTGATTGAATCAAAAAGTACCACTGCGACCTTCAAATTTTGGATCCGCCTTTCATTAGTTTGAGGGATACTTTTATTAAGAGTATTTATAGAATAAAAGGTTAACGAAAAGTACTTATGAGCCTTGGCCCTTTTTCGTAGTTAAAGACAATATAAGAATTGCTTAATTTAAGAGTTCTTTTGTTTTGTCAATTTATCTTAATTAGTTTTTCTTATACGTGGACCGCATAACTTCGGATAATAACAAATAAGACAAATTAAAGCAAATGCATAATCACATACATCCAATTAAATATTGTATTACTCATTTCGTTATAAAGTTTACAATTATTATGTTAGCTAATATTGATTATGCAGAAATATTGGTATTACTTTATCCCAGATCTACATTAGGTAGGATAATAATACCAGGATTAGCTATTCTCGTATAATATCTAAGATAAAAATTGTAAATAAAAACTTATCCAAGTTTAATCAATTTCACTCTAAACACATGGTTTGGATTATATACCATATATTCCATATTTATTCAATGAATCGAGTTATTAATTTCAGTATTATAATTCTAAATGCTATACTTACTAAAGATGAACTAAAAGTGCGTTGTTATGGTGATATTAATTTATTTTGGTTTCATGTTTTCGTCAGCATGGCATTATCACCGATCACATGACTGCTTATTTTTTATTTAGAGCCTGTTTGGATTGGCTTAAAAAATTGATTTTTTCGCAGAAATAATTTTTAAGCCAAAAAGTAATAAGTTGGTGTATATGGCTAAAATCGAAGAGTCCGATTTTGGGGTCATCACAGCATTCCGTAGCTCGTTGCCAGAAGGCTCGAGGCACAACTCGAGGTTTGATGAACCAGAAGGTTCGAGGCACAACTCGACCTCGGGGCAGTACAAATTGGTGGCTATGATGAACGAGTGGGAGATTCCCAAGGCGAGTGATTAGAGCTAACCAAGTCCATAAGAATAGTACAAGCTCGTAATGTGGCATTAAATGGCTGTACCAGCCGCATATCTTTGTAATAAATGCATGTGTACTATGTTGAGATTCCTCCTCCTATATAAATGAGACCCTTGTTATTTTTTGCATACATGATATTCAATACAAGAACATTCTCTGCTCTCTAACTTAAACACTCTCTATTGTATTTCCTCAGATTCATTACTTACATTTATCGCGTTTCATTAATTGTTCTTCATTTATTGCTCATCATTGATCATAAAAAGCCCTCATCAAAGCTCTTAGAACTGTTAGTTCTTCATCAATCGGCCCCAACCTAATGCTTAGCTTGACCCCGAGGTCCCGTATAGTCTAGCTCGAGGCCCCGACTTTCGGCCACTCGGTCCGCATAAATATACACTTTTTAAGCTCTTATCTCATTTTCCTAACTCACACTTAGCATCTATTGCCTAACAATTAGCGTAAGGATAAATCACATATTTTTAGAACCACATAATCAAATTTAATTATTATTATCATTTTCAAGTTAAACAGATGGGGTTGCCCAACTTTTTGTTTTAAACAATTTTTAATTATTTTAAGTATTTTTGACTTTATCAAACACTGCAAATACCTAAAAAAAGCTCAAAAATTGATTTGACCAACTTTAAAACTAATCCAAACACCTTCTTAATCATTTAGTATCTGCAGTCTACTATTACGATTAATATAGATTCACGCCGAATATATCAGCTAAGAAAAGAATTTCCTCACAAGAATTTTCTATTACAGAATTTGAAGTCGACAAGGATAGAGGGACCAACCATCTCAGCACATTCTTAATAGTAATGCCCACTTAATTGCCATTGGATGAAAATCATCCAAGAGAAAGAAAGTATCAAAGGCTTTCTAATTGGAGCATTTTTGGTTGAATAATGGACACGAGTCATTATAAAAGTCATTTATTTTTGTAACAGCCTCTCTACCCTTCGGGGCAGGGGTAAAGTCTGCGTACATATTACCCTCCCTAGACCCCACTTATAAGATTATACTGGGTCGTTGTTGTTGTTTGTTGTTATTTATTTTTGTTCACCAATAAGCAAAAAGACAGGAAGCGTGGGGGCATTGAATTGGAGAGTGAAAAGTGAATGATCAAACATTGAATGAGTGGAGATGCTTTAATGTGCTCTTTCACATTTGACATTTGTTCTTTATTTTTTGTTTCTCTTTATATTCTCTGGAAGTGAAAATAGGAAACAACATTTCTTCTGTTCAATTAATGTGATTATTTCCTTTACTATTATTTTTTAGCAAAAATAATATATTTTATATTTTAAAAATAACTAATTTTATATTTATTACTTTATATTTAATAAGATGTTTTTATAGTCACAAAATGCCACGATATGTTCAATTCTATAAGTTTTAAAAATTTTATAGCCATGAAATTGCTATATCATATTTAAAACGATAAGTTTTAATTTATTTTTTAACTTTATATAAATTCAAACTCTGTCACATAACGGGAGAAATTTTTATTTTTTAGTATTTTTTTTCTGGATACATGTGTTTTCTTTAAATTCTCAACTTTTTCTCCACTCAACTCACTTTTGTTGAGCTTTCAGAAGTCCTGAACTGAACATAGAAAATAATACTATATAAAAATATAAAAAAGGAAGGTCACTTCAATGAATTATACTAGTATTATTTTCCAATTCAGAAAGCAACCCCATTTCTTCTATTCTTGATTCTTTGTGCTAACTCTCTTGTCTTCTAAGTCAATAAACAGTGAAGAAGATTACAAGTTCTTGAAAAGAAGAGGATTAGGTAGTAGCTATTTCATCTTCTACGTTTACCATCTGATTTATTTTTATTTGTTTGTTACATATTGAGGTAATAATTGTTTGAAATATAGAAGACAAAAGGACTATATTTCAAAGAGGGGTTGTTGTGAATTACCTCAGATCCAGGGTACTGAAGTTTTATCAGAAAAAGGGTACCTGCTTTTTTGTGCTTTCATGTGATTCTTGGTAATTGGCTTTAAGCTTTTCATAGGTTAATTCACATGACCCTTTCCTTGTTACCAGTCTTTCTTGTCATTAAAGACTAAGGATTTATGTAAAGTTTGGTTTTTTATCTTATTACCCATATTAATTGAGTGGATGTAAGGATCTCTAGTGAATATTGTTATGTTCTGAGTATATATAGTTGAAGAAGAAGTTAGATTTTGCACCAAAAAAGGGGGTTCTTGTTGTTTCTTTTTTGCTAAACAGAACTGATTACCAATTTCTGCCAAGCATCCTGATTAATGGGGCGCCGCGCAATGTAAAAGAATGGTCTTTTACTAGTTGATTTAATTAGGCATGGAAAATGGTATGCTGAAGCTCATGATAGGACTATTACTGATTCTAAAGAGAGGTGATGAATTAGTTTAACAATGAAAGGCAGTTTAGTTTTAGAGGGGGTGGTCAACTTTTACTGCTTTCAATATAGTGAGTTCGATGAAGGAGATGTATCCGGCGGTTGCAGTGCCATTTATATTTGGTAATTTGATCTGTCATAACCCAAGCTTAGGAAGTTATATGGATTTTACTAGGCTAAAGTCGATGGATGATACGGCGAGCTTGTATTCTAATTCTGAGACTAAAACTTTGGCAGACTCAGTTTCTGGTGGCAATGATGATTGCGGCTCTGCTGATTCAGAGAGTGACCTTAGTATTACAGTATCATCTGTGCCTGAAGAGAGCAGGAGTGAAGGGACTATGTCGCTTGATGTGATTTCTGAAAATGAAAGCAACTGGATTGCTGGTGATGATGATTCCTTTTCATTGGAAGGTGATCAGATTCTTGATAGTTCGTGTTCCTTGTCAGTGGTGAGCGATTGTAGTAGTATATGCGCTGATGATTTTATATGTTTTGAGATAGCGTCTGATATAGAAGGTCAGGATTTCGTAGATTCTCAGAAAATCATCAGCCATGTCGAACTTATTGCTAAGACTGAGGTTCTAGCTGAGTCAGATGTTGAGGATACTGTGACTAGACTCGTGGAAGCTTCCAATGGACTTGAAGAGCAGATCTCAAAATCATCTGAAGTTGTAGTTCAGCTACCCCTAGATAAAGGCTTGAGTGCAACAGTCAGCCGAAGTGTTTTTGAAGTGGACTACATACCCCTATGGGGATATACATCCATCTGTGGAAGGAGACCAGAAATGGAAGATGCATTTGCAACTGTTCCTAGATTCTTGAAAATTCCTCTACAGATGCTAATTGGTGATCGCGCGTTTGATGGACAGCCTAGTCGCTTAAGTCATTTGACGACTCATTTCTTTGGAGTTTATGATGGCCATGGTGGTTCTCAGGTCTCTGTCTCTCTCTTCTCTCTTTCTCACTTAGGTTTGCACAACTCTTCTTGTTAACTACATATGAACAATAAATTTGATTCTTTTTTTTTTCTTTTCAGGTGGCAAATTACTGCCGAGACCGGATGCATGCTGTTTTGATTGAGGAGTTGGAAACTATTATGACAAATCTCAGTGATGAAAGTATGAGGCAAAGTTGCCAAGAGCACTGGAGAAAAGCATTTACCAACTGTTTTCTTAAAGTTGATGCTGAGATTGGAGGGGGAGATAGTCATGAGCCTGTTGCCCCAGAAACTGTAGGCTCCACAGCGGTTGTTGCCATTGTTTGTTCATCTCACATTATAGTGTCAAACAGTGGCGATTCAAGGGCTGTTCTGTGTCGTGGGAAGGAACCCTTGGCATTGTCAGTGGATCACAAAGTAAGCAAAATTTTAGACTATATTTACTTGCATAACAATTGTTCTCTATGTACTCATTTTTAAGTCCGTTCTCTTTGTCAGCCAAACCGAGAAGATGAATATGAAAGGATTGAAGCAGCTGGAGGCAAGGTGATACAGTGGAATGGCCATCGTGTTTTTGGTGTTCTTGCAATGTCTAGGTCCATCGGTATGTTTTCTCCTAGCTAACCTTTTACTAGCATTTGCAAGATACTCTAATCACCAGCTGAGTTTTTTGTATTTTGACCATACAACTATGGAGTATGAGCTATTAGCTTTAATTCTTTACCATTACTTGGTGCCTTTTTTGTGTTACCTAATGCGCTTCCATCTAGGGGAATGAAATATTTCCGCTTATCACTTATATGACACTTAAAGTTCTTTTCACTTGCATGTTGAACTTGAGCATAACTTTAATTATTGGACTTCATTTAAATCTACTTCCATTTTCTCAAGCGAGATTGTGATATATCGGTCCGCTCATATGTTTTATTATGGTCATCAGTTTTCATTTCCATATCGGAATTTCTGAGGCCATCTTGAAAACATACTCGATAGATTGTACCGGAGCACAGTTCATTCTTAAAAGAGAAGCTAATTCAAGATTCCATGATTGGTGATACAACCAATATACTCTAGCTTCTATTATGTAGTAGTGCATGTTGTATGGCTCTGCCTCTTCCATTTGGTCTAAGATGTTTGAATTATAAAATATATTGCTACCTATGCTTGGACGCCAAAGCTTTCAGGAATTAGAGTTGCTCCGACATAGCAGCTTAGGTGCCGTACTCGTGTCGATACGACACTAGTATGAGTGGGGATATAGAATCCGTACTGGATATGGTTAAACAATTTTGGGTACTTTGACCACGACAGATGGGAAAATTCAAGACGAGATACAATTTGATTCTCAAAATCAGAACAAAAAATGTAGGGTAAATTTGAAGAAAATAACATACCTTATCTAGAAAATCAATTCTTTACTTATTCACAACTTGAAAATAAAAAAGAAATTCACACTTTACAAGTTATACATAAGTATTCCACAAAATTTCTTATAATTTAGAGATATTTTTATATTTTTATTTTTTTGAATTATTTTTAGCCGGATCCCGTACTTGTATTCGTACTAGGATCCATATCCCTGAATCTTAGAATTTACATCTCGAAGGACCCGACCTCTAGATCCGCACCCGTGTCCGAGCAACTTAAATTAGAATTCTCATTAGAAAGGTACACTAAGTGAGCTGCAGGATTGCATAAAGACATTTCTTCTGAACATTCTTGTATATGTAAGTTGATATGAGAAGTAACCTGTGGCCAGTAGCATCATGTTATCCAGCTTGTAGCTATTTTCTTATTATGTGTTTTCTTGGGATGTTTATCACTTGGACAGATTTGATCTAGAGTAAATATTGACATATTAGAAGTCCTACTTTTTGTTGGTAAATAGATCTTTTTCTTTCTTTCAAGCCAGTTATTATTGATTGCAGGAGATAGATACTTGAAGCCTTGGATTATTCCTGATCCAGAAGTAACGTTCATACCTCGAGCCAAGGATGACGAATGCCTTATTCTTGCGAGTGATGGTTTATGGGATGTCATGACAAATGAAGAAGTTTGTGATATGGCTCGTAAACGCATACTTATGTGGCATAAAAAGAACGGTGTAACGCTCCCCATGGAAAGGGGCGAAGGAATTGATCCAGCAGCACAGGCTGCAGCAGAGTGCTTGTCGAATCGAGCTCTTCAAAAGGGCAGCAAGGACAACATAACTGTGATTGTGGTGGACTTGAAAGCCCAAAGAAAGTTTAAGAGCAAAACCTAACATAATTGGCCTCTCAATCTGCTGTTTCATTTATTATAGATTTGCAGTATAAACTAAATATGGTTCAAATTGTAGTCAAGCCCTTACATTTTTCAACTGGGAATCTGGGATAATGGCTTTTATTGGAGTAGGTTTCTGTATGTATTTTAGTACATGCTCCATTCTGTATGTAATTTTCTTCTTTTAGTTATTTGAAATAGGAGCAACTACATTATTATAATCAAATGTAATGGTCATTATGCCTCAAAGTGTTAAAAGGTTCTATGAGGTATTTTAACCTATGTTACTTTGACATTGTAGATTCATAATAAGCAATTCAGAGTAGAGTTTTTTCGTCTAAATTTTTATTCTCTTCACCCTAACTGAATGTCCTCTACTTCAGAGTCATATTTAAAGGGATAATACATAAATATCACCCTCAACTTGTCCGGAATTTTCAACTACACACCTAAACTTTGCGGAGGACTTTGTGTAGTTGAAAATTCGGGACAAGTTGAGGGTATTTATGTATTATGCTATAGTTGAACATATAAAAATTGCACCTCAGCGTGTGTGGCTTGGTGATCAATAAAGTGAGCGAAACTTTAGAAATAAGGATTCAGATATCAAAGTTTTGATGGACAGAAATACCGGATATGCATACATTGAAATAATTAAGATGAAATCAAACATGCAATAATTGTATCACTTTTTTTCTTTTTCGTTTGTATTCCCCCCCCCCTCCCTCATTTTTATCTAAAAAAGGGAGCACCATAGACCTAGTCAAACTGGTAAAAATAGTTAATGGAGCAGAGATAAACATAGAAATTTGTCCACCAAATCATTTTGTAAAACTAATGATTCCAAGGTAAAAGAAGTTTGGCCGTTATGGTGGTTGAAAGTGGCGGGAGGTAACTAGCGGCGTAGCCTCCTTTTCTCTTACCACCACCAACTTTTTCATTGTGTCATAAAAATGGCTTCGTCAGATGATGGCGGTAGCCACCACCGCCCTATAGTTGTGGCAGTTGATAAAGATAAGAATAGCGCCTCTGCTGTGAAATGGGCTGTTGATAATCTCCTTACAACCAATCCCAATCTTGTATTGCTCCATGTTCGAATCAAGAAGTCACCAAATCGTAGGTACCCTTTTTCTCTTATTCCCATTCCTCAACTCAGTCCTAAGGGATCCATAATTTGGTATTCAAATTGTATATATATTATTAGAAATTTAAGTCTTTTTATTGCACCTATAAAAAAGGCAGCTCGGTCCACATAGTATTTCGACCCTTATGCAAGCATTTTTCATCAGTGCCGGCCGAAGCATAAGGCAAGGGCTTTAGGCCCCAAAATTTTAGGGACCTCCATTTTTCATTAGTAGTAGATATAATAAATTAATTTTTTAAAAATTTAAATATTTTGAAGTAAAAAGGTCCAAACTTTTTAATAAACTAAGAAAATAAAACTTCAAAATTTTGAACAATTAGAAGCATATGAAAATGTTTTTGATTTCATGTTTAAAGGTAAAAGAATTTGATAAAATTAGGTGACGAGAATTTGAAAGACATTGCCTTAACCAAGATAGATATTGATGGTTTAAACTTATTTTTGAATTAAAAGTATTACGGAAAGATAGTACAAGTAGAAGATAATACTCTAATTAATATATTTGATTAGATAAAAGTACTTGCTTCATTTCCAAATGCATATATTGCTTATAGAATAATATTAACTATAAAGAGGTAAAATGGATTTAAAAAAAAAAATAAGAAAAAGACTTAATTAAGGCCACTCAATAAGGTTTGGCTTTAGGCCACCGACTTTGTTAAGTCGCCTTTGGATTTCATGGCTCGAACTCGTGAGCTACAGGTCATATGAGATAACTTTATAGTTGCTCCAAGGCTCCCCTTTTGTGAATGTAAGTGAAATATGCTTTTGGTTTACCACCAAAGAGTGGTAGAATGGATGATATCCCTCCATTTAAGGTGTCGGGTTCAAGCCCTTGGAATGCACAAGCTCCTAATTCCCTTTTATGGGCCTTACAAAGTGCTAATTTGTATTAGTTATGCTAGTGGCTTTCGGATAACAATTTCCAAATGTGGTCCATTCTTCTATATCTGAAACAGTTGAATTTTGGTTGTTTATTGTGACATTGTTGCTGCTTTGTAGCGGGTGGTGGGAATGAAGCTGCTCCAGATGCAAATGGAGGATCAAGCGACGAAGATACTCAAAATGTCTTCACTCCTTTCAGGGCTTATTCTGCGCGTAAAAGGGTAAGTGAATTAAACATATCATAGAGGTAGATTGACGTTTGACTAGAACGACAAAAGAAAAGATAAGAAAGATGGCATTTTTGAGAAATCCATAACAAAGTTAGCATTTTTACTCTTTTTCTGTTCAATCATTATGTCTAACTTTATGTTCCTTTGAATCGACCAAACACTTCCTTCATTCTATTTTATATGACATTCTTTCCATTTTAATCACTTCTAAATATATTGATGCCATTCTACATTATGATACTCTTTACCCTTTAATAATTTCCTAATGATTTCTAAGGATACTTTTGATAGTTATATATATTTAGCAAATATGGCAAAAAAAATAAAGTTATATTAAACACCGCATTGTCCTCTGTTTGGTCCTTACGATCACAAGAAATAGTGGCTGTTTTCTCATTTCTGTTCCTTTTTTCCCCTAAGCCTCTTGTTTTGCTTCAGTGCTTTGCACCATTAAAGTAATTTATAAATTACCTACAGTAACATCGTTTTTCAATGTTTAGGTGAAACGGGCTTGCACCATTTTGGAATTTTTGCTAAATCATACTTTACTCAAATGATTGCAGATAGTAGTGAAAGAGATCGTCCTTGAGGATACTGAAGTGTCCAAAGGACTTGTTGACTACATCAACGGTCATTGTGTTACCAACATTGTTCTTGGTGCATCATCTAGGAGCGCTCTTGGCAGGTTATTATCTCTCAGTTTCTCTGTTTCTTATGCTGCATTGTGGAGGAAAAACTTAAACTTGGCTCATAACCTTTTTCTGCAGGAAATATTGGACTCCTGATGTCCCAACAATCATAAATAAGGCTGCACCAGAATTTTGTACTGTCTACGTAGTTTCAAAAGGCAGGCAACAATCTGTCCGACCAGCAGCAAAACCTCTAACTTCTTCTGTGTCAGCAAGGCAACATTCCTCATCAGCATGGACACCGTCTAGATTAAGTAACTCTGAATCAGAAGACATATCCAGGTACAACATATAAGCAACTGATGATATAAAACTAACCAACTTTCCCTTTCGTTTTGTTGGCTTGAAAAAGCTAACAACTTTCGCATGGCAGTGCTTATAGCCCATAGAGAATGATTATGGTTACTTCTTCCTTTGTTGTATCACCATCTTATTTGGAGTTAAAGTTTTAACTGTTGAACTAAGAAGTAATAGGTGAAAGAGCAATTAGGCTTCCTTGTGCTCTAAGCAAACGTGTGAATTCTTTATGCTCTAGCTAATTTTAATGAATAAATGGTACAAAATAGGTTGTCATTTGCAAGGGCAGAGCCAAAGATTATAGAATCTGAGAAGACGAGGCCTGAAAAAGGACCATCTAATGTAGTGATAGATCATCTTCATGCTCCCTCTGGAGGGCCGATGAATTCATGTAGCCGGAATTCTCAATCAGATGGTAATGAACTCTTCGCTCGTATTAACCATAGATCAGTTGATATCTCAGCCGACAATCTTGACTTCACACAAGTTGCAATCAAAGAAACTCCAAGGAATGGAAGCTCCTCATATACAGTAAGTGCAATATAATCATAGAAGCTACATTACAATGCATATTTGTAGCTTAATACACAATATGAGCATTTCCGTTATATGAAAAGTAACAAATTTGCTGAATAATAACTTGTCTCATCATATGTGATAATGCAGTTGGAAGCTGAGATGAAAAGATTAAAACTTGAGCTAAGGCAAACTTTGGATATGTATAATGCAGCTTGCAAAGAAGCTGTCTTGGCCAACCAAGCGGTAATGTCTCGTTGTCTAATTGCCTAGAACCACAAAAATGAAGACCATTTAAAATAGAAAGAAAGAAGAAATTTAAAGGCTCAAGTATCTGCAAAAAACATCAAACATAGAACATGCATTGAAAAGAAACCTAGTTTTAAAGTTCAAAGATAAAAAAGAAATTATAAGGGAACTCATGTTTCTACAAATTTTACTAGCACTCACAGAATCAAATGTTCAGTTTTTGTTACTTGGATACTTAGTACATGGCTTAGATGCCTAGAATAGGCCACCGTATTTGCATGGTATCTTTTAGAACCAATAATATTAGTCTAGGGGCTACCAATGCCCAAAACTACATGGGTGCATTCAGCATTTTTATGGGGAGTTATTCTTCCAAGAAAATCGTAAGGTATGAATTAATAGTTATTAGTTACAATTTTATCTATATACTGAGTAAGAAATAGCATCATATTCATATCACCCTTGTGTATAAGTTTTATGAACAAATTGTTAGTATGTTTCTGTTGCCATAAAAGGCTCTTGGAAACACGAGTTACAAATTTATGACATCAAATGCAAAGGACCAAGGCTTTCTTCCTCTTCTTATCCTTGATTAAGCTTTTCATGTGTTATGTGTATATTAAATTTCAGGCTGAAGAGCTTAATAAATGGAAAATGGAAGAAGCTCGTAGGTTTGAACAAGCCCGTCTTGCTGAAGAGGCGGCTCTTGCAATTGCTGAGACCGAAAAGGCTAAATGCAGAGCTGCTATTGAAGCTGCTAAGAAAGCACAAAAGATGGCTGAGATAGAAGCACAAAGAAGGAAGTATGCGGAGCTGAAGGCCAAGAGAGAGGGAGAAAAAAAGAATCGAGCAATGAATGTTCTATCTCAGAATGATCTCCGTTATAGGAAGTATACAATAGAAGAGATTGAGGCAGCAACCAAAAATTTCTCGAGTTCTCTAAAAGTTGGAGAAGGTGGATATGGACCTGTTTTTAAGGGAAAACTTGATCACACACCTGTTGCCATTAAAGTTCTGAGTGCTGATGCTGCACAAGGGAAGAAACAGTTCCAACAAGAGGTAACTCTTGATATCTCTAATTCATCGATACATTCTTCTTTTACAATACATATTAAGATATGAAACGTCCTTCATTATTTGAGGTGAGCAACTTCATTTTTCATAGAATTATGTGCATTCATTGAGTCACTTCTAGAGTTAATTAATGGGGACGCAATGGAGGGAATCATGATAAATTGTACATGGAGACAAATGCATATATAATGATGCATTTTGGTGAATGACATGATTGTTTTGATTAATCTGTAATAGGAATGTTATCCACTAGGTG